CGGCCCGCACCTGCCACTTCCGGGCGCTCCCTGGAGCCTTCAGGCGGGAGGCCCACGAAGGCGCGCGCGAGGGAGACCCAAGCCAGCACACTTTCCCGCCTAAATGCTTCCTTCTTTTGCCAACATCCTACGAAATAAAGGGAGGAGGAGGAGGAAGTGTCGGGTGACAGTGGAGGCGGGCATGGTTCCTGATCACGTGGTCGCAAATGGAGTCTCTCTCTCTCTCTCTCTCTCTCTCTCTCTCTCTTTTCCCTGCCCCCGGATTTGTGGCGCCTGCGCAGAGTTGGGGCCCTGGCGCGCTCGGAAGAAGCCACCGAGCCGTCTTAAAAACCGCTCGTCTCAAAAGCGCCCTCGAGAAACTCGCTTTGGTTCCTGCGGCGCATGCGCAGTTCCTCATATTTAGGTTCGAACGGGACTCTCTTACTGTGCGGCTACTCGCCGTTGTGAGATCTTATCTAATCTGGTATTCTCTTACTGTGCGGCTACGGTGGATTTCTGAGCGCCCCCTCCTTTCGCCGGAGGGTTAATCGAAGTAGCGCCCCCTGCCTTGTTTCATTAGCGCAGATCCGTGCAAAGCATCTTTCGTGGTTTCCCCCCATTTCCAGTGATCTCGCGCTCTAGAGCTCTCTGTATAGTTGCGGGTAAACCACTGATATTTTTTACGGTGGTGTGGGATTTGCATCTACTCGCCGTTGTGAGATCTTATCTAATCCAATATCTGCTTACTCTTTATTTAAATAAGAAGCAATGGGCCACACTTCGAGTAAGGTCTGGTGTTATTAATGGCTAATGCTAACTTCTAGATTATACAGTATACTGTATGTGTATGTATTTCGAACTGGCTGGATAGCTCAGTGGGATGGGAGTTCGATTCCCTACTGTGCCTCCTGGGAGAAGAGCCAGCCTGTGTCCCCTTGGGCAAGCTGCACAGTCCCGGGGGTGCCCCCAGAAGAAGGGAAGGGCAAATCACTTCCGTGTATTTTCTACCGGGAAAACCCTGGAAAGGGTCGCCATAAGTAGTAATTAATTTAATGGCCCATGATAATTATTAATTCTCATTATCTTTTTAAGAGCAGAGTGCATAAGCCTTATGTACAAAGCCCTCAAGTGAGTATTATCATATCTTCCTGACATAGAAATGTTGCCTTCGGCTTTTCTTGCCCCTGCTGCCAGCATTAGATGGGTTCCTGCGTTTTACAGCCTTTGTTGGCAAAAGATTGTTTTGGAATCATCCTTGTTTTGGGCTTAGTATTCTTGGTTTTGGTTTCTAGGCCTCATTAGCAGGTGAGAGTGGAAATTAAGGTTGCCAGCTGATCAAGAGAGTGGAAGGGGATAAGGGTGGGAATTTTTTACAAAAGTAAACACCTCTTAGTCAGTTTTCTGGATTTTAAATATATATATATTAAAAAGCAAAGAATTATTTCCTGAGCATATGTATAAAATTCATTCTAATACCGTCATGCTCTACAAACACATGCTGAATAGAGCAGTTAAAACTAAAAGTTTCAATGTAATCAGCTAATGAGGCTATGAAATGTGAGACTCCAACTGCATGTTTCCTTGTCAAACACTTGTTTGCAACTTCAGGGCCAGGGCAACTCTAGAAGATGGGAATGGCAAACCACTTGTGAGTATTCTCCACAAGGAAAACCATCAAAAGGGTCACTCTAAGTGCAGCTTTCTCACATGAACAATTTTTCTCTGTGAAATCCAAAGGAGATCCATTTGAATATGGGACATCATAAGTCAGTAGGCCTCTCTGATCATAAGAATTTGCACAGGTGCAGTGGGGGCATGGGGCATGCACTGTTTCAAATGCTATCAGTAGATCATAGCTCTTGTGTCTCACGGAATACTTCACATGTGGGCGGTTTTGCCACATGTGAAGGAACTGGCAGTTTTGGACCCAGGAATGTTGCTGCTTTTGAAATCGGAAGTAACCAGCAATCACTTTGGATTTGGCTGAGGGAGATGTCCGGCCTAAAACAGAACAGCAGAAGGCATGGCAATATTTTTGTCCCTGTACAGTTTTGTCCCCCCAAAATTGATGGGTGCCAAGCAGCAATGAGAATCAGGTGGCCCGTGAGCCTTTGTTCTCCTCTGTCTTAGACAATATGAACCTTTATCACCAAGGCCCTCGACCTTGTTGCGTCCTAGGGCAATTTGCCCCCTTCCTCCTCTGTCTTTGTTTCCATGAAGAAGACCAAGATTTTTGCTTGGTTTAGTAACCACATGAAATATTAAATGACATTCAAAATGAAAGATCACTTTGGGCTATGTTATGCATTTCATAATCCAGAAGAGGGCATTACAGTATTTCCTCTCTCACAACAGAAGGGAAAAAAGTTTGATTTTTTTTATCTAACAACCTGATTAATGTTTCTGTCAGTCACATGGCTTGCACAAGGATGGTTATATGATTAAAGAAATAGAAATTCAATTAATCATGTGAATTGTAATTAATTAATTATTGAATAGATTTACAGTAGTATCCTGCTTTCACAGTCGGCAGGCAGGGTCTTAAAAGAGGAATACGTTTTTTCATTGGCACAAGAGAATTCCTTAATTCAGACAATGCTTGTTTCAATATGTGTGTGCATCATTCGAAAACAAAGAAAGGTTGTCCTTCGACAACTTTTGACATTAGTTTTTTAAATTATACAATGTGGTATATCAGCTATGTGAGTCTGGGGGTCAGAGGATAAGGCCACTGAAGATTTTCAAAGTAAGATGGAGAATGTCTGGATTATATGAACTGACCAGACATAAAAGGATTGCATGTGGGGAAGGGAATAAGGGTGGTCACTGCTCCGTTGCCAAAAAGGAGGACATGGACAAAAAGGAACAACAAAAAGAGTTCCTTCACAAAAAAGGAGGCTATTTGCATGAAATTTGTATATGCTAATTTTGATTTGTCTTTATGATTTAAGTGGAAATGCACTGAATGTCACCATATTGCATATGACTGTGGGTAGGTAACCACCACTTTGGAAGAGAGTACTGAAAGAAAGATGGGGTATAAATCAGAAAGATAAATAAGCTGTAGTCAGTGTTCAGTAGCGCTCTGAAATGTCCTGTGCCTCCAGTTTGCTAAAAACGAGTACATGTAGAAAGAAAATAAAGAGAAGGTGCTGCAATTTTCTTTATTTAGCTAGGCAACAATCAGTTCTTTTAGAGGAATGGTCTGAACTCTGGTGTCAGAATGCCCATTCCTGGGACTGACCTCATATCTGACGTTAGTACAGAACTGATAGGCTGTGCCAGAGCTCTCTGCTGTGCATCAGTAATTACTGTATATCTGTTTGCTTTACACAATGACCATCTCCTTCCAGAACAGTTTGATTTTAAAATAAGTGAGGGCTGATTAGAAATATTTACCAGTTCAAGCCTCTGCTATGTACAAAGATCTAACTGTAAATTTATTACAGTATTTGTAATAGCCAGCCTTAAATTCTGACCAAGATGATTTGAGGATGTTTTCTCTCCTTCCATGCAAGCTTTGTAAGGGCCAGCCTGATGAAAAGCTCTTCAAACTTGTTTTTGAGATGTTATTGGTCTAATCAAGGTATCTACCGAATAACCAGTGTGGTAGTGTGCACAGAGTGTCAGATGCAGAATCAGGAGACTTGGGCTGAAATCTCTACTCAACCAGAAATACTAACTGAGAGGAAGGGTCCCCACTTAACACATCGCCAAAGAGGAGGACAGGCTTCCGATTCTGTTAGCCGCCTGTGAGGTTTTTGCTGAAAACACCAACTGTTTTCTTTCTTTAAAGGGAACATGTAGGTGTGCTGGCATATGGCCTGTCTTTGGAAGAGAACACAGAACTGTTTGTCTGTGATATTGGCAAGCCAGGAGAGTTGTCATTTCCCCTATTCACCCAAATGCATGGAAAAAGGCCTTAAAGGATATTGGAAAGGATATTTACTGATTGAAATGTTTTAATGGTTGCTTCCCCAGTGTACTAGATGAGCAAAACACATGTTTGTGGAGGTAAAACAAGCTTTTCTAGCACGGATAGAGAAGAGGTTGTTTCAATTCCCTTTGAGATTATTCATCTAGCTAGTTGGTGGTGCTTCTCAAGTGAGGAATATGTGCACAAAATAAGAACACCACCAGTTTTATTTATATCTAACTGTGAAACATTTCAATAAAAGCAGCAATGTTCCTTTTGTCTTTTGAGGGCTGTTGCAATTTGCTACTTATAACCCACTGGTTGTACAGACTGGCTCAAGATGATCCAACCCTGAGCAGTTCTTTAACTACTTCTGACTGATCTTTGCTGACAAGTCTTATCTCATACGAGGTTACCTCTCTTTGTCAGATGCCTTGTTCACTTGATAGGGAAGTTCATCCAATGGATAAAAGGTTCAACTGAGTTGCAATTGTTCCTTGAAAGCCTGTTGCAGATATACAAGCCACAGTAGTTCAGTGCCTGTCCGTCAGTGCAGGATCATTATTAAACATCAGGATGAATGCTGCAGTTTTTCAGTGCATATGTAGCTTGGCGAATCCTTTAAAACTGATGATGCCCGTCCTAAGTAAATGTATGTGGAAATAATTCCTGCAGGTATTCTCGAAGGCTTTCAGGCCGGGATCTGATGGTTGTTGTAGATTTTTCGGGCTCTTTGGCCGTGTTCTGGAGGGTCTTCCTAACATTTCACCAGTCTTTGTGGCCGGCATCTTCAGAGGACAGGAGCTAAAACTCTGTCTGAGCCCTGGTGAAACGTTAGGAAGAACAACCTTCAGAACGCAGCCAAAGAGCCTGAAAAACCTACAACAACCATCAATTCCTTTAGGTATCTCCAAGGTATCTCATATATGATTTACTTCTGAGTAAGCATTCTTAAGAGCGTATTCATTGTCTGGAGAAAGCATACTCACATAGAATTAGAGCAAAAGCCTATGCAAAGGAGTAAATCCTTTGTTTACCTAGTCATGATCCAGCTTGAGTGGACCAAATGTAGTAAAACTCCTTCTTCATCTGTTTTTTTTTACCAGTTTCCACAGATACCCCTCACCTGACCTCAGCCTGCCTTTGCGTTTTTCCACCAGAGAGTACATGACATTTAGAAAAATAAGCACAATAACTATTTGGATAATATTCTGCTTCAAAATATTCCTGAAGTCATACTGCTTGCAATGTTGAAGAAAAAAAACTTGCTCAATTAATGTATTCCATCCATTTATTGTTTTGGATGTTGTATGCCAAACGTGATTTTCTATACACTGGCTGAAATTCTGTTGCTCAGCATAGTGAACTGCACTAGAGCAGATTACTGAATCAATGAGTCAACTCTCCTGTAGGTTCCATTGATTCACATGGGCCTACTCTAGTTGCAACTTAAAATGCTTAAGGAAGTCGCAATTAGAGTAGGCCTATTGGAAGCAATGAAACCTGTGGACGAATAGACTCAACAAATCTCCACTGATTCAGTGGGCCTAATCTAGTGCAATTTAGTATGCTAAGCAATGGGATTTCAGCCATTATACATTATTTGGATACATAACCAACATAAATTTGGATTCATATAATTTTCACTGATTAAGGGCTAAATTCATTTGTTATTGCCCGAGACAAGATTTATTGAATCAACAGGATTTGATAAATCAGTGTCTATTCCCTTAATTCAGTGAGACTACTCTAGATTAGATTAACAGTTGGATTTAAATTTTAATATTTTATTCACCAGACAACTTTTTTTTAAGTCCTGCAAGGCAGAAACCTTTTTGTTTCATTATTCACTTTTATGCAACCAGTGTGTTTTTATACCATCAGGGCACACAATTTTACATCTTTAACACCCAGGTGGTTCATCAATAAAGAAATATGGATTGCCTAACTAATTATTATATTACATTTGGCGAATTTCTTAATAGTCTTAGCCCACAGTCTCCATAAGAAATTGCTATATATTCAGAGCAACCAAGTATTCACATCTGATTTATTTCAAATCCTGATTGCCTGAGGAAGAACAAATTAGAATATTGCAGAATATTTTAAGTAATCAATTTGATTCAGTGCAGAGATGTAAATCCTGGATGCTTTTTAGCCATCCACAGTTCATTGATGCCTTCTTTACCAGTCTTCCCCAATTCTGTATTGATTACATATTGTCTGTATATGGGACAGGGTGTTTGGCTGTTCATATCCACAGCAATTCACAGAATCTGTCTCTTTGGAACCCTTACCAGCCAGTCCAACTATCTCCAGTCCTGGTTTCCAAGCAGCCTCTATAACAAGGCCAAGAACATGCAAATGACATTATGAGAATGTCAGGCCACATAACAGAATGTCAGAAGATCCTGTTTTAACCCGACGTCGCCACCAAAGAACAGGGAAGACCTCTCACGGCAGCATGCCTGTAGCAGATACTGTACATTTCTTGCAAAATGTGGACAAAGAGGAGGAGTTGAGCTATATACAGCCTTTGTTTCAGATACCTAGTGCAGTGCAGTAGTCAAGATCCTCACAAGTTTGAAGGAAGCAGTTTGGGAACATGGCCAGTTTCTAGTCTTTTGAGTCATACTCTGGAGGGCTGGAAATCTTCCTCAAAGACCTCGTCCTCTGTCGCATTCTCATAAGCAGGGGGTGGAGTGAGCGGCTCAATCCGTTCCGGCCGGTCTTCAATCCGTTTGAGTTCGTGGGTATCTGAAACCACCCGCTGCAATCTCGGGGGAAGTACCAATCTGAGGTGAACCTTCGAGTGCAAGTCCGCCTCAGAGGCACGGCGTGCACCTGGTGCCACTGAGACACTGAAGGACCCCACCACTGTCTCTCCGTGGGCAGGAGGCTCAATAACCACACTGTAGGGTGGGGGCTCCCCCAGAGTTGTTCCAGGGCTGGAAGTGATGGTCCAGATTGTTGGCGCGGATTCAGATAAGTAGCCGGTAGCCACCACCTCCTCATATGCTGGTGCTTCGTATGCTGCATTGTCTCTGTAGGTAAAAATATGGAGTTAGGAAATTGAAATATCACTTTGCTGACTTTCTACTTCCACAGGAAAAGGTTCTTTTATGCTTCTGAGAAATATACAAAGCATTGGCCAAAATCCTGTTGCTTAGCATAGTAAATCTTCGGATTTGTGCCCTACATGCTTGTCTCTTATGCAACAATTCTCCGCCTTCAATCTTGAAATAAAATTTCTTGTCATTCGTTTATTCATTTATTCATTCCACTCAAACCTTATTATAAAATCTCTTACAGTGGTGCCTCACTTAACGGTGATAATCTGTACCAGGAAGATCGCTGTTAAGTGAAAACATTGTAAAGCGAAAATAAAAAGCCCATTGAAACACATTGAAAACCGTTCAATGCGTTCCAATGGGCTAAAAACTCACCGTCCTGCGAAGATCCTCCATACAGCGGCCATTTTTGATGCCTGTATAGCGAGGATTCCATCCCTAAACACAGCGGGGAGCCATTTTAATTACCCAGCGGCCATTTTGAAGCCGCCGATCAGCTGTTAAAAAAACATCGTTTTGCGAAGAATCAGTTCCCAAAGCAGGGAACCAATCATTGCAAAGCAAAAAAAAACCCCCTATTTTAGACCATCGTTTTGTGATCGCAAAAACGTGAAGCGGATTTGTCATAATGCGAGGTAACTGTAAAGCGGGGCATGACTGTATAGTGAATTCTTAGAATAACAGCTAAAGGTAATTGTAAAGTGGGGCATGATTGTATAGTGAATTCTTAGAATAACAGCTAAATCAGCTGAATGATGACTGATGTTGCAGTATTGCACGTTCTCAATTGGCCTACTGTTCTGTTCTATGGGACTTCACACAATGCATTATTGAATTTCAGTGCCCAAAGATAAAATTATGACCTTAAAAGTTTTAAAAAGATAAGGTATTTTAATGAAGAAGGTGCATATGATCAGCCATATATAGCCACAAATAGCCCAGTAGAACCTCTGCGCTCAGAGGCAATATACCTATGAGTTCCAGATTTTGGGTGCAAATCCCAGTTATGAGTTGTTGCTGTAGCATCCTGCTTTTAAGTTCCTGAAAGAACTCGCTAGCTAACACTGAAATTTGAACAGTGCGTCGGTGTGATCCAACAATGCTTTGCTCATATTCTGCTACGTGACCTATTGTTTGTGCAGACTGCCACTGGTGTGTCTCTTATGTAACATTAAGATACGCAAAGGAGAGGCTACAACAGTGTTGTTGCTTACCGTCCCTGGCTTTGTCTCCTTTGGGCTGCTTGGTTTTCTTCCACTGGATTCTGATGCTTCAAGTATTGCTGTACTGCCACACTAATGAGGTAGCCAATCAAGCACAACGCTGCAACTGCGATGAAGAAAAATCCTACAGGGTTCATGTTAGAGGATAGGGCCAGCAAGGTGACCCCAATGAGAACTGTGGCAGTGAAGAGCACCAGCAAGGTGTGACGGAGGCTCTTCCACTTTGCCTCCGACAACATGGCAGTGTGAATGGCGATTATGGCACTCAATAGGAAGAGGCTGGTCAGTCGGCAGAATGGGCATCTGTCAAAGAGATGGAATGAAATGACACAAGGGGCACAAACACCTTGAACCCAAGCACCCAAAAGGAGTGCCAAGGGACATGGCAAGCAACCTCTGGGTGACACAAGGTTATGCTAATGGCATAATGGTACAATTCCCTCCAGCTGGTTCGGCTGGTGCCACAGATGCACTTTTAAACTCATGCCTTTGCAATATACTGTACATCAAAGGAAAGAGAGGCACTGCCAAGACACATCTGAAGGTGTCAGGCGTGGTCTTTCAGTCTGACTTCCTGAGCACCCTGTTTGCAGTGCAATGGCTTAGGGCACAGCAACATGTTCTGCAAACGGTGGGCTCTTCCCAGGAGTCATTTACAGCAGTGGTCCCCAACCTTGGGCCTCCAGATGTTCTTGGACTACAACTCCCAGAAGCCTACCCCACCACCTCTTCTGGCCAGGATTTCTGGGAGTTGAAGTCCAAAAACATCTGAAGGCACAAGGTTGAGGATCACTGATTTACAGCATGCCAAGTGGGAAGCACAGTTTCATATCCCTGCCAGCCAAACAGGGATAGGCTGGCTGGCTAAAGTGTGTGTGCTGGCAGACCACAGCAACGCAGTTCTCATTCTGGTGCCCTGGGGAAACACTGGCTTCTCCAGCAGTCCTTAACCAGTCTTCACAACGGCTTTAGCCGCCCATCCATCCCTTGAATAAGGCCTTGTGTTGGAAGTGCTGCTGTACGGCTGTTTGATCGGGGAAAAGGGGAGGCATGTTATTATGGTTCCTGTAAATAACGGTCCACGATCATCAATTTTCATCATATCTTTTGTTGGTTATAATGGTACTATATGTTGATGGTTTTGTGCCTAAGAACAGATCTAATTGTGGGTAGGGGGGAGGGGATTTTGACCTCTACCCCAAAGCAGGACCCCCCCCTCAGGGATTTTGGAAGAAGGTGGGATGGTGCAGCAAGCTGCCTCGGGTATTTACAACTGATGGTAGAGGGTCTCCCAGTGGCCTTGCATCTAGGAGGGGGGGGATCCAACTTTGACTGCCATTTTAGGCCTTTCAGCAAGTGGACTGAGGAGAGATTGACTCAATGACTGGATATGGTTCCCCATCTGCACCAATCCTATTCTGCTATAACCTTTGAAGCTGTAGCTTTCACGGGGCAGCAACTTGCAGCTAATCCCTCTAAATTTGTGTCACTGTGTGGTTTTTTTACACAAGCGACAGGGGCAGTATAGGCAATACAGAAGGTCTATACTATAGTTAGAATTTTGAAAAGGATAATCCCATATAATGATTCTATTCTTCCTCTCTTCCATCTCTCCTTCCTTCTACTCCAGACCTAGGCAAAGTGCGGCCTGAGGGCCACATACGAGCCGCGGGCCACTCCTGTCTGGCCCGCCGGACATCAAAACCATTTATAGCATTTTGTCTAAAGTTGATCAGTTGCTTATCTTTAACATACCGCAAAAAAAAAAAAAACAACCTCTTTAGTGTCTGTGAAGATTAACAAGTTCAGTATCTACTAATTCATCCAACAATGTCAACTATCTTCAGAGTTGCTGGGAAACCATTCCTTCTTGTAGCGTTTGCTGGCATTTGCTTAGATTCAGTGGGCATTAGTGATGGGGAGAAGCATTTCCTTAATGACCTGAAATCTCTCTCCAGACTTTGCAAAGTGATATCCCTCAACTAGTAGGACTGATAGGAAAACAGGCCTAAATCCTGGTACTTACACCCACCAACGTTAACTCAGTTGGTGTACATCTGTGGCAATTTGCCCCAAGTTAAGAAGTCAGAGTAGGCATTTCTTGTTACAAATGCTCACCAATTCACGCGACACAGCACGCAACAGCAAAAGTCTACACTGACTTCCTAACTTCTGGCTATTCACCGCTGAGGTTTGCATCAAGTGCATTATACTGGTATAAAAATGTAATTGTATTCTGGCCATAGTGCACAGCATGTTTTAGAAGGCTGATTTTGTTGTTAACTGCAGAAGTTTCTTTGCATCCAATAACTTCTGCTTGCACATTTCTATTGTACATTCACAAACAAAACAAATATTACAAAGACACCTGAGCTGTTTTACCTAGGATAAACTAAGCCCTAGAACAGGGTTTGGCAACTTGTAGCCCTGTAGATGTTGGCCTGCAGCTACTATTCAGTTTTTTCCCCCCACATCATATTATGTCCGCTAATGTTATAAAGATGTTTGCGCATTCTAATAAGTTCTTGCCCAAGATGGAGTGAAATAAAGTTCTCACCTGATTAATTTACTTAATGCATGCAATACAGATCTTTCCAAAAGCCCATGTGGCCTGAATTATCTGCACATCTGTTGCCCCAAGTGCAAGGGTCTTTGTGTTATTGCTTGTGTGTACGCGGCACGTTCATGTTGAACAAGTTAAAGGAAGGAGTGGAGTCAGTGGGCCCTCTGCTGTCTGACGGTTGCACAGTCCCCTTTAGATATAAAAGTGCCTGGGTACTCTCAAGGAAGCAAACCTATTAATAGCATTCTGTGCTTCCTAATCACTGTTCCTTCAATGACGTAAGGGAATTCCCAGTGAAGGAAGTTCTCTTCTTGCTCTCTATGTGGCAATAACAATACGTTGGTGACTGGACTCTCATTTCCCATAACTTGAAAAGAACAAAGCAGACGACAGCTGAAGCTCTGTTGATGCATGCCTGAGCTGAACTTTGCTGACAGCAGGAGGGCAGGAAAATTCCACTCGCCAGAGAGTTAGAGATAGAAGGTGCTTATGAAACGCCAAACCAAGAGAAAGAGGAAGAGATGCTGACTGACTGAGCCCTCCAGTCTAAGAAAAATGGCATGAGTCGCACAGCTGTGTAAATAAAGGAATCCCATTTGCTGTTGCATCCATAGATGGATGGGTGGGTGCTTTCTCAGTTAACATTTATATCCTACTTTTCCTTCAGTGAGTTCAAGGCAACATAGAAGGCTCTCCTTTCCCCACTTTATCCTCATAACTATCCCAGAATCACTTAGTGATCTTCATGACGCTCCCAAGTCCCAAGCCAATGCTCTAATGCCTACATTGCAGTAGCTTCATTTTTCACAGTGGCTAAGTGTGAGATGTAATGTGGGTAGTGGATCAAGAGCTGGGCTAGGGCTCAAGAGATGGGGGTTCAAATCCCCGCTAGGCCATAGGGATGTACTTTCTTTTCTCTATTCGTATCAGAGTGTTGCACAATTCAAAGTCATAGACACACATGAATGTACCGAGGGGTGGCAAACCACTCCTTAAATATCTCATATACTGTACTGTTGAAAACCCTGCTAGAGGTGCCGTGAGTTGGACTCCACTTGTTGGCACATAGTGTTCACAAACACGATCACAATTCTGATTACCAGAGGAAGGATGGGGAAGATATGTACAGATGAAGGTCCTCTGTTTCCATTTCGAGCTGAATTGCCTCTATCGCAAGATTATCAGCTACAGTTTAAAAAAAAATTCATAGCACCTCTTGCCTGCGTGTGTATTTTTCTACTTATGCTACAGCTTTGGCAAGATTATCAACTACAGTAAAAAAAATCATAGCACCTCTTGCCTGCATGTGTATTTTTCTACTTATGCTACAGCTTTCTAGAACTGCAGTTTGCATCTGATGAAAGATGATCATGTATGGTATGAAGCATACAACTTTTGTGAGATTCATTGTTAGTGAAGGGATGCATACCTATAGTCTACGACATAATTACAAGGGACAATAGGTAGGGTAGTAGGCAGTGTGAGACAGTGAACAAGGGGGGGTAGGTTTTGACTTCTTAGCCATGAAACACACTAGTTGTGACCTCAGGACGGTCTGGCCTACCTCACAGGGTTGTTATATGGATAAAACTAATCAGTCCTCTTGGCTGTTCTGAAGAAGGGCAGGAGAAAAATGTAAAAAGAAATTAAATCAAATTTTAAAATGATGTCTATAACTCATTGATAATGAAATATAGATATCCATAATAAAATACGTTTTGAATCTTGACAGTAGTTTTCAAATTGTAAGCCTTAGTTACTAGCCTTTGAAAAATGGAGAGTTATTGCCTTGATTTTAATTATTGTTTTAAAGATAATACTAGTTTAATTCTTTAATGTTTGTATTTGTATACTTACTGATTTTAGCTTTTTAATATCATATTTAAAATTATGCAAGCCACCTGGAGTCCTTTTGTGGAGAAAGGTGGGATAAAAATATTCTAAACAAGCAAGCAAACAAGCAAACAATGCCTTGGTTGACCTTTAAACACTGCATTTATGATTCATGGCTGTTGCTGCAATAGAGGGAGTAAATATGTATGTGTTTTCTTAGTGACAGCTCAGGTTCTCATGCTTTGGGATGTTGTAACGTTTTTTTAAAAGTATTACAGGAAGTACTGTAAGATCTATGACAAAATACAAGAATGATAACAGTAAATATAGTATTGTATTTAAAGCAGCAAATGACATTTTATTGTTGTAGGTTGCAATCCTACATTCTGCTGAAGCACCTAGGAGTCTGAATTTAATAGGGCCACACACTTTTATTTCTGTTTTTCTGTTTGTCAGTTAACCCTGTTCATAATTTAGGCTGTAGTCTCAAACATGCCGATCAGAGAGTAAAATCTACTGAACACAATAGGACTGATCTGCTCTGCGTTATCCCTTCAGAATGCTAATTAAAGTCTTGCCCCAGACAGAGGCAATGCTTGGGTAATGTAAGTAGCCTTAAATAGAATGCTTCTGCTATTGAATGGCAATCCCACATGGTTAATGCTCTCAAGATGGATCCATGTTTCTTCATAGGTCGTCATGGATATAAAGTTGTTCCGTTGCAAATCCTCACACATCTCTACTCACACACCTCTTTTTTAAAATACATTCCTCTGTTACATTCCCATGTGCCCACACAACCCTGGCAGCTTCCCTCATCAACCACCCTTTCACCAGGCGCTCACTCCATAAGCCGTATGTACTCACCAGACAGGGAGGTTCTATGCCAGCCCCAGCCATGAAGCCTTGGAACCTGTTGTCATTCCCAGGGACCTGTTTGCAGACGTCTTTGGTTCCGTTTCCAAGCAGGGGAAGAAACTCCAACACTGCCTCTCCCCTCCTATCTTCACCCTTTTAAGGGAATATCAGTATACTTGAGAAGCAAGTTACAAGTTTAGAGAGAGAGTCAGATTTCACTAGATCTTTTCAGGTTGAAGGGTCCCCCCATTTTTTTCTTCTTTTTCAGAATGCTCTTCTCTTTCCTCTTTTACACTCTCAGCTTGTCAACTCATGTGAGCAGGAAGCTAGCTAGGGAAAAGGGCGGCGTATACAAAAGTTATGTGTAATCGCACCTCCAGCTCTTCTTTCCTTACTGGGGCTAAGAGCACTCATTTTTCCACAGAATGCCTTCATTGACACCTTCCACAGGGTGGGGCCTTAGGACCAACCCCATGTGATCCGCCCTATTCATAAAACTATTTATGAGCTCCATAAAGATATAAATCGTATGTTCTTCCTTCTCAGGATGCCTGCCCAGTACTGGTTTTACCCCGTTTTTTTTTTTATACCAGTAATCTGCTATCGGGTCCGTAAACTATTCAGATAAGGGCTGGGGTGGAGTCTCTGTAATTTATAGAAACTACCTGGTGACCAGGAGCACGGAAATGAGTGAGAGGTGGAATGTGCTTTATAACACTAGACCTATTGAGTTGAATCTGGGAAAAGTATGTGAAGAACCCCCCCAAAATCTTACTCCTGTACAAGAGTTCATTTTAGATAAATTACTTTTGGGGTATGATCACCTCCAGTGTGCTATAGCTTGGGAAAGTTATTGTATTATTATTATTATTTTTAACTCAAAACCCTCAGAATCTTAATAACTTTTTCACCAACTGCAAGGTTATGCTCAAAATCCTGCAAGGTAGGCTTCAGCAGTATGGTAGATTAGTGGGTTTCAGCCTAGGGACATGTCTGTCAACAAATTCTTCTTCATTGTAGAAGCTTATGGAAAATGGCCTAAAGGACATTACTCAGTTCACTGGAAAATTTGAAACAACTGCTGTAGAAGATTGCCAATAAGTGCCAGACCCGTGCTTCCCCCCACCCCCTTTGGAGGAAGCAGCAGGATAGAGGGGTTTACAACCCCAAAGTTTTGTAAATTATAAAGCATTGTTCTCTCCTTATTTTGGCCACGTAAATTAGAAGTGTATCAGACATCAGACTCCCTGGGGTTGTGTGTGAAAGAATCCCAGGGAAAAGGCACAATTAGTTACCTCACTACTTGTGGTATCTTATCTTTATTTGTATTTAGTGCTATTTTTATTTGGTTTTGTTACCCAAGGGAAAAGATAGGTTTTTATTGAGGAGCAATTCTGCACTCAGGTGCATGTCGCCAGGTCGATGGTTACTTAGCTCACTTTTTGAAGTGCTTACAACATGGTCTGGTTTGATCTGATTTACTGGTGACCAGAATATGTGTAACAGATGGCGAACCACCCCAACCCTGCTCCTTGCCCAGCCCAGACCTTTTTGGTCCAACACCAGGGCTGCTTTTTTTTGGGGGGGGGGAAGGTGTTGCCGAGCCTGAGTGATAGGGACTGGAGCATTCACTATTTGGATAGAGGGGTCACTTTAAACAGTGCATCCAGCAAAACAACACATTCTGGCATGATCCAATGCAAATTTTATATTGCTGTCCAATCATACCTTACGTCTCAGCTGCTGAAGTAAAAAAATCCTATACTGAGGCAGTTGGGACCTCAGAGCTGACTGGATGTAAGGAGGTGCAGAGCCCATTGGGTACTTTTTTGATTCCCTCCAAATTTGTCAGATATTCACTCAAGTGGGAAGCTCGAAATTTGATCTACAACTTCAATTTAGGAATAAAACTAGAGGCATCTTTAATCCCAGGTGTTACTGACTTTGTCCACTGGAGGACTTTCTCCACCAGCCACAGACTCTCTTACTCAGGGCACCCAGTGCTGAAGAGAGACAGGTGAAATTTTTGACTAAAAGTTGATGCCTTACTGTTTTAGCTCCTTCTTTTCCTCTGCGTAGTGGAACACCAGGAGGAAATCATTTGTTGGGGAGATAAAGTAGATGGGAAAAGCCATCTGTGACTTTTCCCTATTCTCCTCAACATCTCCAAACAACCCCCATGGCAACCTTTTCCCCTAGCCACCCTGCAGAGCTGTGCTTGCAGTCAAAATCTAGCTCTGGAATCACTGAATGGGAAAAAAAACAGCTTACGGGAGACTTGCTGGGGAGAGAGATGGCAGGAAAATGAAAAGTTAAACGCTTCTTCCTTCTGATTTTAGCCTCTCTTCTGCAAAGTATCCTAAATGGAGGATATTTACATCCAGTCAGCTCCGTTCGGAGGTATCAGCTTCCTCTAAATGGATACTTCTGAAGCTGCTTTTCAGAGGAAAAGTGACCGCAGGGTTTCAAGATTAAGGTTCTACCTTGCAATCTCTATCGGCTGTTTTCTAGAGAGCTGTTTGTGGTTTGCTCTCTCAATGTATTTGTTAGGTACAGGTGCTGAGGAGGAGGTGAGGTGTTGTTGGACAATGCTGTGCATGTGCCATGCAGGCTGCCTGCCTTGCGCCCAGTAAGCTAGCGTGCTGCCTTCTGGAATGGTGGAAGAATGCATTTCTCGTCCTGACTGATAAAGTAAGAGGGCATGGCTACTTCAGTGCATGGAATGGGGAGAGAATGCCGTCTTCTACCTCAGCTTGGGCAGCAAGGCCACCATCTGGATCCAAACCATATGCTATCGTAGCAGTACATGCATGGGCTCTCCCTTCCATGTTCTTCCCCTGGATGTTGGGGAAGGCCTCATGCAGGCATTGGTGACAGGGCACTGTCTCGTTCCACCTCCGTGAGTGGAAAGTAAACAAGATAGTCCTGCACATCTCAATTAGAAATTAAGTGAGAAACCAGCTTGAGAAGTAAGTCTATCCCAAAGTTCTTTTTCTTCTCTCTCAATTTCGTCTAAGCAAGAATCCTAACATTCACCTATACATTTCAATTTAGACTGAATTAAGTGACAGGACTAGCAATCTTTATTATCTCCAGAACACTTTCTACATAGAGATCCCAGACAAACTTATTAAAGATTTAGGAACTATACATGAATATGTCGATGTATGGTGGATTTACAACTACAAAAAACACATGCTGAAAAAGAGATAAATGCTATAATAAAACTTCTGAAATAAACATAGCTGTATTTTATTTGTCTTCTCTTGAGATTATATCTCTTACTTCATATGCATGTCCTAAAAGTTGCATCTTTAATATACTGTATCTCTCCTGCAGATTTGTGATTTTACTAAAGTGTATTAATTTTTATGAGTTTAAAGCAAGCTGAAAAGGTTTGGGACATGATTTTGGGATCATGTTTATGTGTAGGCATCCTTTAGTCTCGAGAGGCTATGGTTGCGTGCTCTGAATAGAGGTCTTGGAACAACGTCTGGTGTGGCTGAGAAGGCCAATTCGAGAGCGACAATCCCTTCCACACTGGTACATGTTTATGTACCATTTCCTGATAACAAGTGATGTTGAGTGAAAGCTGAATGTTATCCAGATGAACAAACTGACAAAGTCATTATTATTTCATCCCGATCGCCATGTAAATGAACAACTGGTCCATTCTATGGCATTCCATCATGGAGACCTCGTGAAACCACTTGGCAGAATGACTTTCCAGTTTACAACTCAGATTTTCTACACTACACAGGCACATGTTCTGACTATTCAGGCATACTATAGTGGGTAAGAATGAAATATGGCCTTATCCACAGTATGTTTGGGTGTTTGATTGCTATGTATTGGGATGAAATCTGGACGATAAAGAAAGCTGACAGGAGAAATTGATTCATTTGCAATATGGTGCAGGAGGAGAACTTTGCAGAAGCCTTGGGCCGCCAGAAATATGAAGTAGGTTCTAGATCACATCAAGCCTGAATTTTCTCTTGTAGGCAAAAATGTTGAAACTGCATTAGGCATATCATGAGAAGTCAGGTTTCTCTGTAAAAGACAATAATGCTAGGAAAAGTTGAAGGCAGCAGGAAGAGAGGAAGAACAAATATGGAACTGACTCCATAAAGGAAGTCACAGCCTTAAGTTTACAAGAACTGAGCAAAGCTGTTGAGGACAAGGTTTTTGTTCATGTAACAACATGAATTCAGCACTAATAGGGCAAGCTACCATTTTCTCAGCATCAAGTCCCTCCCTGTAACCCAAACATCTTGACTATGATGCAAATTTACTTTACAAGATCACTGATAAATTGTGTTTAACACTTTGGGATGGACAAAATCAGGGCTAAGCATTAGGTTTGTCTTACGTTCTTAAGGCTCTTTCACCCAGTAGAAAAAGTCTTCTCTCTTTACTCCTGTTTGGTCAGGAAGGAGCGCAAAGTTTACTGGCAGTTGTTTCCAAACTTCCCCTTGAAAAGCCACTTCTTTGGAAACTGTTTCTCTTTAGGAAATACTTTTAAAATCATGTAAGTTAGCTCTAAATATGGCAGAATTCCAATTCTTTGCTGGTACTTCTCTTTTGGTGATTGTTCATCTATTTTGGTTGATGGCATGAAAAATGGCAATAACATCAGTGCAGAACTGAATACTTTTATGGGAACAAATGGTCCCTCTGGAGAGGCCCATAATATATATACAGTACAGTACAAGTTCATATAGTCGTATGTTTGCCTGCAACGGTGTCTCCAAGCAACCTTTCTACTGTATTCTTCCTAATCGCCAGTTGCTTTCCCACTTTTTTGCATTCCCGAGCAGCTACTTATTTGTCTGTCCTTATCAATCAGGCCTCCTAAGGAACTTGCTCCCCTCACTTTGGCCGTGACTTTAACCCATGGCATAAATCCCAGTGACTGAAGACAAGGCCGACCTGTCCTGTCCATGAGAATCAGAGTGACTTGAAGTAGAAACAATCCCTCCAGGCTGCCTTGTCTCTGCTCTCTTTTGTTCTGCTGAGACAGGAGGGGTATGGTGGAGGCAAGCTTTACAGGGCTGAAGCCACAAGACTTTCTGAGTACCAGCAACAATGGCATCAACCTCACCTCTTCCACCTGAGCTTAGATGGCAGAGGTATGAAATTTGTCTCTGACAGTATGTTGTTACAGGCTATCCCAGTTGTAATGCGAACATTTGAAAATTGTTTCATTTTAAGCAATTAGAAGCCATTAGCTTTACAAAAGACTGGCTTTTTATTGTTTTGGCGGGGACCAGTGCAGCTGCTTACATTTTCTTCTTATCAGGGCAGTTAAACGCAATGACCGCCATATCTATAAAGGTTCCCATGATTAAACATTCCTCCATACAAAACAAAAAAACAACAGCCCACCAACCTCTACTTACAAAATCTAAAATCAGGAAGTACAGCTTCCATGGAAGTGTCCCTACAAAGTAAACACTTTCTATTTACCGAAATTTCAGTTCTGTCGCCAGAATCTTGTTAGAGACTTTTCCTGGCATTACTGCAACAGCA